GGAATTTATATGATAGTCGAATCAATAGGTGCTTATCCGCGTTGAATCACCGTATTCAGAGATGTTATGTTATAACATTTAAGTGGAATGTTTTCTTTTTTTATTGTAAAATCCTGACACACACGCGCACGCGCGAACGACGTTATAGACATTACCGTAAACAATAACTCGTCATTTCCCTAATTTTCCTTTTGTACCTGGATGATCTTTTCGATAGTTGTGTATCATCCTCGCGGTCACTCGTAAATATATATGTAACAGTATTACTGTAAACTTACGAGCTACTTATCCGAGGGCAGCTATTTCAAGATCAGAGAAGAAGTTATAAATGAAATCTCTTGATGTAGCACGCGTGATGTCTTTAAAGAAACGCCGACTACACAAAAATTATTTATCTCTTGATAACGCTTTAATTATGTTTTCGATATAATCACGACAAATCATTCGTTTTATCATTAGATTCCTTTCTACTGTTTATAAACTTGAGATATATTACAAACTGAATAATTATGTTACTTTAAGGACACCTTATTTGTACATAAATATATTTATACATATACATACATATATATATATATATAAAAAATATATATACATAATATAATTATTCCTATTACAGAAATGGAGTATGTATACACAGCATAATGATACATCCGAGATGCATTAGTGGAGTAAACTTATTTGAATATCGTGCAATGTCAAAAATAATTTTTAAGCCAAAATATATTGAAAATGACAAAGTATTTGAAGAAGAAAATATCGAGATAAATATAGATCCAATTTTAAAGTGTAAGTAGGAATTGTATAAATTGAGCCCATTTCAGTGCTGTAAAATATTATTTTTTTCTACCATACTTTTTAACAACACGCTTGACAACGCCCTGAACAATTAATTTTGCATAATGGCGTGTTACATGTGAATTACAGTTTCAGTCATTCAATAAAGTTATAATGAAAAAAATCAAGATTAAATTAAATTGCCCAGAATCCTTTATTTCTTATATTTTTATAAGTCTTAATTACATTGCGCATTGCGTAAACTGAAAAACAACCCCAAAGTCCAATCTTACTCCATCGTGCAAACTTTAACAACTTTCATCCTCCAATCGCATATAAAATATTTTTACTAGTGTACCAGGTCAAACTTTGATGAATAGAATCAATCCGATTTCGTCAGTAGCTGTGATGAATGGACTAAGAGTGATCGCCACAGCATCTACCTAAATGCGTATGAACATTGCCCTCCTTGTGCGCTCTATCTCTAAGAGCCTTTTCATGATGGAAGCTGGTAAGATCTCGTTTCATAGCATAAGCATCTTCGCCGTCCGCATAATATTTTGGCTCAACTTCCGATACTTCAAACTGCAAGCTGCTTGTGTACAAGTTGAGAGCTGCACGATTACTTCTGCGCACATGCAATGAAACGTATTTTGCTCCAAAACACTCCACCATCGCCCGAGAGGCCTGATTCATCAACTTTTGCGCGATACCTAGTCTTCTGTGGGAGCGCTTTACAGCAAGACTGGTAATATGCCCGTGGGGATTGTCCTCACAGTCTTCTTCCATCTTGGCAAGCACATATCCCACTATTCTTCCTTTCTCATCCTCTGCTACGTAACTCAATTGCGGCCAAGACAGAGCATGGTATAGATAATATTTCATCTGATAATTCTCAGGTAAGCATTGCAAATTGCAATGCTGTATATTCAGCAGGTCTTCTGTAGTAGCACAACGTATATTTACAGACATTTTAGTCGGATATATATATATACATATGTATATATATATATGTATAT